TAACATGGCATACACAATGCGCTAACATACAACCTAGCATACGCAATGCTATGAAATGAAATGGCATACACAATGCGATATGGGCTTACACTAACATGAGTGGACCTCAGCCACACTCACATAAGAGGCCATGAGATGAAAATGAGACACTCGAGATGCGTACACGCATGCATGCAAACCGAGGACCGACCCTAAGGCACGAAATGCCACTCTAACAAGACATGGAAAGGCATGGAATATGGCATACAAGAATGCAAATTTCAGTGCTAAAATATGACTCAAAACAGTCCCGAATCATGGAAACATGGCTCCCGATGCATGAAATGAAACCGAAATACAAAACTAGGCCTATGCATTGGCCTATAGCTATGCAAAACATGCACTATTTGAACATGGAATGTAAAGACATAGTCAAGAAAGCCCAAAAATAAGCACATTCGAAGTTCTAAGAAAGGTCAAACAATAAACACAAATAGGGAAAAACCAACATGCAAAAATAGCCCTAAATGTGAGATAAAGAAGCAAGTCACAGCTTCAGGCCTCAAACAGATGAGGGCCCTTCAACAATGTTGAAGAGGGGCCCAAAATATGATATTTTACAGTTTACAACAAACTACAAAAACCAACACAGGTATGGCTAAGCTCTCATGCAAGAAATGGGCCAAAAGAGGGACAAAGAAGCAAGTGGTGGTTTCTGGCCTCAAACACAAAGGGGCCCTTCAACAATGTCAAATAGGGGCCCAAAATATTGCACTTTACAGTTGATGGCCAGACCCAAAACAGTATGCATGCAAGCCTAAAATACTACGCAAAATAAGGCCAAAAAGAGAGATATAACACAAAGTATATAAAGGATGCCTCAAAAAGTGAAAGACACTTAATGAAACATGAAGAGAGGGTCAAAATAAGACCACTTATAGTTCGGACCAGAGCCCAAAAACAGAAGCAAAAGAGGCTAACAAATCATCCAAAAATATGGCCAAAAGAGAGATATAAAGGCAAGTGATAAATGAAAGCCTCAAACAGCAATGAGCCCTTCAAAAATGTTGAAGAAGGGCTCAAAATAAGCCACTTTTCAGTTCATGACAGAGCTCAAAACAGTTTATAAATAGGCCAAAAATACTATACAAGAAAATGGCATACAAGGGAGATAATGAAGCAAGTGCAACAAGGAGACCTCAAACAGGTAAATACCCTTAAACAAATATGAAAAATAGCTCAAAATAAGCCTAGTTCCAGTTAGGGTCGGAGCCCAAAACAGCAAGAAAGTATGGTTAAGAAAGCATGCAAAATATGGACCAAAAAGGGGGAAATGGAGCTTACCCTTGTAGACCAATCTTTTGGCAATTCTT